CTTCAGTTCGTATCTAACTTGCATATAAAACTATGAAGTGCGTTTTATTTTCATTCAATTATTAAAAAAACCGTTTAATTTGAATTCGGCGACGTCGTTATTGGTTCCGCCTCCCCAATGATCGCCTTCACAAGTTCACCCGGGACCGAGTCCCACGAGCAAAGAGAATTGGATTGAACGCCTGAATCTGGACTTGGTCGTGGAGAGGTGCAGAAAATCGCGATTGATCTGTCATTCTGCATGTATGACGAAGACACATCCAGATTCAGGCGCTTTATCCAATCCTGTTTGCGGCTTGGCCCCTGTACTTTCGGCTAACCGTATTCTGCTTCTAACGGGGACAAACGCAATAAATTTTACTCTTTATTTCTTTGAAGATTTTGAATTTTTATTCTCAGATCCTAGACAGATTTTGAAGTGTTCTGGAGTAGGATTTTGTGAGGGAAGGCCTGGATACGATCGGCCGTTTCTGGCTACCGTCTTCCCCCGAACATAACGCACCCTGATAATGAATGTATGCAATCTATCTTTCCGGTCCGGTGCAGCCATAATGAGGGTGCGTTGCGTTCGGGGGAAGACGGTAGTCTTGGCCAACTCCTTTCCCCCCCCACAAAAAAAAAACTCGAAATCATTTATTACGAAAAAGGGTGGGGAGGATGGCCGTTCGAGGCGTATTCTTATTTTGTCTTTTTTTTTTTGAGAAATGGAGACGGCATTCAGATATCATCTGTGAACTGACCGGCCCCCGGTAATCTCAGAGCTGTTTTCTCTCGACGTCTGATTCCATTGGGTTCAGATGTATTTTCACTCATCTGATTCCATTGGCATTTGAACGCAGGTCTGTATTTCAACAGTGTAATGGTGCACCTGTCACAGCCCTGTTCTTGTCCTTTTCTCCCTTTCTGCCTACTGCAGTTCACCGGGCAGGTCTCTATGACCACATGTGTATATATATATGACAGACCTTTCTTTTTCTTTGTTTCGTGGGTGGGTGTTTTGCTGGGTTGTGATGGGGTGTGAACCGACAGTCTGTAGAGTTTTCCATCTGGTGTGGGTGAGTGATAGTCTGCTTTGATGTTCATCACAGGTACCTTGAGGGCAGTGGTTGGTGGTCCCCACCACCTCAGAGGGGTATCAGTTGTCCGGCAGTGGTTGATGCTTAACCACAACCGAGGTTAAGGTGGACTATCACTTACAGTGCAATCAGTTTTTGGGGATTCTGCAGACTGTCGAGGGTTCACCCTTGTGACGAGTCGGTGAAACTCCGATGAAACAGTTTGTGACAGCCCCTCGTTTGTTGTCCTCTTCTCCCTCTCTGCCCACGGTTTACCGGGCAGTTCTGTTTTGACGATATATATCTATATGTATGTGTGATCGTATCCTGTAATCTCTCTCTCTCTCTTTCTCTCTCCATGTTATATGGCGACATGTACGAAATAGTCAATGTTTAAAAGAGATGACACTTTACAAAGGAATGCTCTGTTTCTACGACATAGCGCTGAAGGGTATCATTTTTGAGCTGACGGGGCCCAGGCATATATTCAGAGTTGGAATTCGAACTCAGGGCTGTGTCCGTGGCCTCGCGGCAAGCTCGCTGCTTCCATTGCTGGATCCTGTTCCGTTGCCGTGGGTTTGATTTTTATTGTCTATAAATGCACGTTCACAGTAGGACTTTCCCGGATGCATTTGGCAGGAAATTACGTCCACATTCAGCAGCGTTCGTCACAGTGACAACGTATTCTATTTTGCTCTCAACTCAAATTTACGTGTATTTATATGTGATTTGAATTATTATTTAAATGAGAGGAATGGGCATTGCGCTTGACCATGAACGTAGTAAATGGCGTTTAGTACCCGGATGCATTTGGCCGGAAATCGCGTTTACATTCGGTAGCATTCTGGGAATGCTCGTCGCCAGGGGCCACACAATTCTCATTTGCCTTGAACCATCCTGTTTCGTTACGTTCCCTTAGAATACGTTACGTTCAACCCACCCCCCTGTGCCCCCTTTATGGCACATTATTATTTTTCACCCTTCATCGTCCGGCTTTACAGTACCTCGTCCTTTTCCTCTAGCCTTTCTGTAAACGTCGAGGAGGAAGTGTTTGAGGGAGATTTGGGGGAGTGAGGGGAAAAAAGGTGGAGGAGGGAGCAAAGCGAAGAGCGGAATGGAGTTGTGACGGAGGGACACTCATGCTATCTCAATCTTGTATGTATCTGTCCAGGGTAGCCCGGGTTCAGCCAGGGCCGGACGGCCGAACGTTCGTCCGCCCAATGGACGAACGTGCTGCAGAGCAAACTCTCTTCACTTTTTTTTTCTCCCAGAGGGAGAGGCACAGATGCTGGCAACGGGACATGAAGCACACTTTTAGGCACAGAGTACTCATGCCGACCAGCCGACCATTCCACCCGTCGACACCTACCGATCGGTGGTCGGTCAACCATACACCCCCAATACCCCCAGCAATACCCCCATACCCCCATACCCCGCCTCCCAACACCCCCATACATGCCCATCAACACCCCCAAACTGCCCTCGAACACCCTCATGTCCTCCCCATAGCCCTCTATAAACCCCCATACCCACCCCCTCTCCATCCCCAAAAGTCTCTCAGCGGATTTGGGCTGAGCGCAGTTAGAGAAGTACAGCCCCGGACTCAGATTTGAAAAAAAAAAACAGTGGACGGCCCTCTACAGACTGGTCAGCAGAATGCCGACCGGTCGGCCGTACTGGTAGGCTGCAAAACAGTTGGCTGTCATCATCGGCGGTCGGCGGGTATGCAACCCTGCTTAGGCAATATCTCCTCCGGTCTTCCACTCCTTTCAGAAGTTTGAAATAGCACTGCCAGAAGTATTGCAGCGAATGGCCCTGTGAATGTGAACCTTTTATCTTGAACCACCAGCACACCTGGGCCTGGAAGCACTGCACTGCATGCCAAGCTTTCCAAACCGCCAGCGGCACACTTTGTTTTTTTGGCTGGCGCTGCCAGCCATCGTGGTACGGTAGGCCCGAGGCACAAAATTTTCGGAGTAGGTGACAAGCAAATTTCCACAGGGCTGGGGCCTTGTAGTAGCGGTTTAACCCACATCAGGACACAGCCTACGAAAACCAGCAATATCTGATATATCTTAGCTTGGAATTTACTTGAGCTGGAATGGGGCCCCAATTGGGGGGCAATGGGGCATAGTGGTTGCGGCAATCAGCTGGGATTTGTCACGATACTAAATAGTAATGCTCCCAAGCTGACAACTTGGCTTGTGGATCGTGGAAGCCAACTTAAGTTCAACGTCCATGTCCCACAGTTGTTGCTGTGCCAGAGCAGTGCCACCCTTGGACACAAGAATTATGAAAAGGAGATAAGCTCATGATGACTACCCATTCTAACGCCCATTAGTCTGGTCTGATCTGAGGCGGGCTTGGATTGCAATGGGGGAGGCAGTGAGAAACATTTGGTTACATGCTAGAGAGCTGGAATTGGCGGCGGGCGGAAGGGGAGGGGGGGAGGTGAAGGCGGGGGACAAGGAGAACGTGCTGCATCTGGTACTTTGATTTCTGTAAAGGATGACCTTCATCTCTGTGAAAGGTGACAGTCTTCTATTTTCTGAGCAGACATACTGTCTGCCACAACCTTCTGTTGGTCAGTCGATTGGGTGGTGGTAACCTGTGTCCTTATGTAAGCGGCCGTTATTTATGCAAGTGCATAAAACATACAATCCTATGCGTAGTACTGGATCCAGCATTTGAGCCTGCTTGGTGTGGCCCAAGTCGCTCCATTTCTAAGAGTATCTAACTTGATTTGTGTGTCTGGACACGTACAGTGCAAAATCCAGCCAACCTGCAGACACCAAAACGTTAGCCAAAAGTCCAGCTAACAGGGAAAATGCCAAAAAGTTGGCTGTTCTGGAAGAAGGCGCCTGTCCTTCAACCTGGTTTTTCATTTCGGCGAAGGGTGTGTTTGGGAGCTACCAGTAGTCCTTGGGCGTCCTCTGGCCGTACACTTTGGTTGGCTGTGTGCGGGAGTGCTGCTGTAAAACGTCGTTTAGAGTGTACTCACACTAGGACTTTGCTGACCTAATCTGGCTATTACTGTGGCCGAATACACTGAGAAAAGTACTGGTGTCGATGCCCCTAGGCATCTCCCTGCTTGCCTTTCGTCTATACTGGTCGTTGGTCATTCCCTTTAGTCAGGTGGCTGGCTGCTGTTGATTATTATTCACCGAATAAGAGGGGAACAATCTTGTCTGAGCTTGAATGTCCATAAATAGTTTGTTTATCCCTGCAGAAAGGATGGGACTTACACTGAGATCTATCTGTGCCTGCCTGGGGGTGATGGTGGTGGTTGGGGAACTTGGGGGTGAAATTTTGTTGCTGGCAGGTTCATGGATCCGATGAAGAGAATCTGGTTTTGACTCGAAGGGTACAGCATGACATTTGGCTCCACCAGCATCCCCGAAATTGCAGTGATCCGTCCCTGAAGTTTCTGGTGATCGATTTTGCTTCGAATGACCATTTAGGAACAGGAGCTCAGATCAACGAGATGATGGGTGCGCTGGCGTTGGCGATGTGGTCCGGAAGGATCTTGATTACTCACAGCTTCGAGCGTGCTAATCACGACGGCTGTAAAGGTGCGTATAGCTTCTCACGCGTTTGTTTTTGCTTTGTTATCCTTGGACCCGAGCTCAGAGCTCAGAACCGGTCTTTGCCACCCGAATAGCTTTTCCGTTGCACGGGCAGAGGAAGGTTTCCCCCCTCTTTTTGAAAAGCGGTCGCTGTTGGTTGTATTGTGTCCGACAGTATCTGAACTTGTGACTGGCACAGGTATTTGCAGGGCAGTGAAAAAATGAGAGAGGGCAGTGTCTGTTATCTCCACGGTTGAAGAGGGTGCATACACACAAACACAATGTCCTGCCAGCAATCCATGTGTTTGTTTGATTTGATTTGATTTGATTTGAATGTTGAGTTTCCCTCTGTAATGTAATGAGCCTGAGCGTCATGCATCAACCAACATTGCAACTTTAATCCGAGTTGCATACACACACACACACGCGCACACACACACACACACACACACACACACACACACACACACACACACACACACACACACACACACACACACACACACACACACACACACACACACACACACACACACACCTGTCTCTTATACACATCTAGATGTGTATAAGAGACAGCACACACACACACACAGAGTGACAAACACAAGGAGAGATGGAAACCAAAGCCAAGAGATACAGAGACCAAAGTTATCTCACAAACATCTTCCGGTGAGCCCGCTTCTCCATGGACAACTACTGTCTACGAACAGGGTTGTGTGTAACTGGCTTGGCGGCAATGCCAGCCAGCTTGCTGGCCCCAACGAACAAGAAGACGAACAGTCTCAGACCTCGACCCGCGGTGCTCTCTCTGTCTCTGAATGTCTTCTCTCCCCTGCTTACTTACAGTCACAGCTATGGTGCCCAGCGCATGTAGACTACTACTCTCAATCTGCCTAATTTGTCACGTATGGTTGCAATGCAGCTCAGCAGCGCTTCCTCAGCAAGCACAGTCGGAAATGGATCATCTCGGCAACTGTTTGTGGGCTTTTGTTATATGACGGTCCAGCCTTATCTCTTATAACCTGACTGACTAAATGGGGGCCTAATATGGACCGGGTTGTTCCGGCAGGGCTGTTCCTTGCACTCACAATAGCACGGTTCTGAGGTGCTAGTTCTACCCTGTTTCACTCTCAGCATGCTGCATTTGTCACTTGGTTGCTCTTCAGCGCAGCAGTGCTTCCCCCACAAGCCTCTAGAGGAAATGAATGATGATGACAACTGTCACTTGTATGTGACAGTTCAGCTCCCCAGCGCGTGGACTTATGACCCGACTGACTATATATGGGCCTAATGTGCACTGGCACGATTTTGAGGTCCACTTCTGAAACCTCTTTCTCATCTGCGATTCGCATCCCTTCGAGTTTCTTATCACTTCTCTTACCCTTACTCCCAGTACATGAGGTTTCACAAGGGGTTGGAAGGCTTTTAACTTCAAAGCTAGGCTACCAGTCGGGCCGCCCGGGTCACCTTGTTTTCCCAGGCGGCCCGGCTGTGCGAGGTGCAGGGAAGGTCCCAGCAAAAAAAACAAAAAACAAAAAAAAAATCCAAACAATCCGAAAAAAAGCTATGTTCTGCAAGGTCCAGGTCCCGGCTGTGCGAGGTCCAGGTCCGGGCATGACCCCCAGGCAGTGTTCCGGGCAGCCCCAACGCAAAAAAAAAAAAAAAAAAAAAAAAAAACGAAAGTCAAAAAATTCGTTGTGTAGAATTCATGGTAACTGCGGACCCGGACACCAGACATTTCCGGACTGTTTCCCGGACCTGTGTCTGGACCAGTCCGGACTGTCCGGTGTTCCGGACATCACCGGAAACCGGACTGTCCGGAATGTGTTGGCAGGGACAAGATGTCCGGGGGGGGGGGGGACCTGGTGTGCACTTCGTGCCCCCTATTTCCCGAACATCAACAATCAGTCAATCAATCTCCACGAACATCCTATCCCCCATCTTTACCTCTTCCCCCCTATTTCCCCGAGCCTCCCCCCCGCCCCCCCCTCCTCCCCTATCTCCCCGAACCTCGTTCCTCCCACTGCACGCCTTCCCCCT